AAGAGCAATGACACTTGAATTGGAAATACCCAACACTATAAAAAATCTACGTGCGAACTCGACGTTTCCTTACTTAGGTACCTATATATAGATAGATAAAAACAGTATTCTTTTTAAGAAATTCATAAAAGAACTAAAACAGTTACAAATTCTAATTATAAAATTAAAAGTTTTATACAGTCTGAAAATAATCTGGTTAGCTCCATACTTTTGGAGGTATTTTCACAGGCTGAAATATAAACTTTTATATTTATTGTGTATATAGATTTATCTTAAAAAAAAAAAAAAACATTAATGTCTATAATGAATATACATTTTTAGTCTATTTTTATAAACGTAATATTTATTAAATTAGAAATAACATCAATGTGTAATTGTTTTATTTCAAAATCTTTATTATATATAAAACAAAATTTATATCTTCATTGCGAAGTTCGTTATAGAACAGAAAAAAAAACAAATAACATTTTAATCCGCAAATAATTTCTTTCCTTAAACGTAGTATAGAAGGACAGAAACATTCATATAGTTCTCCTAACCACTGAGTAACTGAAAACTATTTCTATATTTAAAAACGAACTATAGATTTATATCTTCTTAATAATAAATAAAGACCTATTCTATTATATTGAAGAGATAAGATAATCAGTAATGAGGTCTTATAACCCTATTGCTAGCAATATATCAGGCGGCCTCCAAACAGCTCTTCCTGGAAATGGCAATAGTTCATCATAATGATGATAGTCTTGTGTAATTCATGAGGATAGACTAGCTGACCTGCTTTTATTCTCACCTATAATATGACACTGGTGACCCATCAATATATTCCATTAGCGCAAAGAAGAATGTCATTCAATTATCACCTATTAAAATAAAAACTATATTATTCTATCACTAATATCCTGTGACTATCATAAATTTTAGATGCTCATTACCAAAACCAGTGCGAGTCGCACATTTAATTAAAATTTATCTAAGAATTTCTGTATTTAGATAATACTCTTGTAAATAATAAGCGCCTCACAGTCACATCATATCTGTATCCCGTAATTTTAATTAAAAATATATGCCATATTTTTCCAGTTTTTATTTAATTTAAGCAAAAAACTAATAAATTTAATATAATTTGCCACAATCAATTTTAGTAAAATAACTCATTGAGTCGGTTCTGAAACATAGTATTAAAATTTGTCAACGATCATAAAGGATTATTATTACTTATAAAGTCCAACAAGGTACCAACAATAACATGCAGCTTTAACCGCATAAATTATAATTAAAAATACGACACTTAAAAACTTACAAATATAAATGTTGTGCAAATTTGTATCCATATTTTGCTAACAGTATTTTTCTATTATTATTCCCTTGACTAGTATATCTTCTTCTTTTGAGGAGAAACCCATGCTTAGTAATAGGATACTATATATATATACATTGTTACGGTATACAAAACAATTCATAGATAATTAATAAAAAGCCAACAAATTTTAGAATAATCTGACATTGTTTCCACACGCTTTTATGTTAGGTTTATTTCAATGTTTGTAAACAAATGTACGTAAGAAGCCAAACTTATGCTCACTTATTGTAGTCATATCAAATGATGTAATAATGATGATAGTGTATTATTATCATAGAATACGTACTAGTACTTTATCTATAAAGATACTAACTAATATTATGAGGAGACAAGATCTATTTGACTAAATCTTGATTGCTACATGGAAATTATTGAAGTTGTAAAAACAAAATTCATGTAATATATTTTTTGTAATAAAAAAAATCCTCTAATTTCATTGAAAGTCTGTATTTGAAGTCCGCTGGTTTAGGAAGTATTTAAGCTTGTAATAACAACTAAGTGAATGTTATGAAATCAATATTAGAGAATCTTTATGAAAATTTATGTATGATATTTGCAATGATTAAGGTACCGTTTGTAGGTTCCCTACAAAAATAATACACTCTTGCCATCATTTCTGTAAGGAATCTAACCTTTGCCTGTCCATTTATATATTATGTATAATACTAATATTATAATTTTAGATATTGTTGAGTCACACATATTACAAAAGAAGTAACTGAAAATATATTTTTATGTTTCAATTATTTCTTTGGTATAGTGTTCAAAGGCGGTGTTGAAAATTTTTTTATATTATATAAAAGGACTTTATTTTTATTCTTATATTCTAAGATGGTTATTATTTTTTTTGCCTTGTATTTTTTTAAGTTTTGATAAAAAATATGCAGAAAAATGCCATTTCTCCATCTCTGAAGCTTGCAAGGTGTAAAATCTAAAATGCCTTCATAAAATTTGTAAAGGTATATGCATAAAAATATAATGATGTTTCTAACCAAGATAATATCTAAGAATTTACTCGTATCAAAATACTTATGAAGTAGTACTATTACTGGTACTACTCTCTGAGGTAAATATCCATTATTTTAGATTTAAAGAGTGATGCTCGTACGCGTGGTCCCAAAGCTAAGTTAGGCCAGATAATAAAACCCGATTTTTTTTTTATAAAATCCTTACATTTAACTACTCATTTTGATAAATCCTAAGACTTACTAGTTAGGCCTAAGATTTACTAATGTATCGGGATTTTATAGTAACATATGTAGTATAGGTTAGATACTATACAGAAGCCTTTAAAATTCAACAAATTTTCTTAAGTTATTTCTAATAATTTCCCATTATATTCGTATATTGCGTAGAAGATTTGATTGAATTTTTGTCATGGATTGTATTTATGTTCAATGAACATGCATTTTTAATTTTGTGACTTTCTGTCATGTAATTAAGTATATTACCTGCAATATCTATTTATATTATATTGTATATTACATTATATTAATATAAAAAAAATAATGTTTTTATTAAAATATAGTTTGAATAGAGCACCGTAAAGAATAATAATACTTCTTAAAATACCAGTATTAATGTTTTAAATGAAAAAAAAAATAATACTAAATTAAATCCAGTAAATACAATAATAGAAGAAAATATATAATTACAACATTCTAATTTGAAATCGAAGTTGCTGAAGAACGCTAAGAATTATATTATATATAGAAAGATGATTATATTTGTAAGTAAACATAATATTTTATTACAATTATGAATTATTTTTATTAGAGCAGATACTCTAATAAGAATAACCTGAATATCATACATATACAGGCAATTTTCTGTTTGAAAAAAATGCATTATGAAGTGATTTATTATTAAATACAATTGTATCATCTAGCTTTTCAAATTTATTTACACTTTTTTTAAACAAGATTCAAGTTTAAAATTAAGAGATATGGGTAAGCTTAGATTCCTACTATAATATATTCTGTTCTGTGGTTTAGGTTTCCAAGTTTATTATTAGGTATACAATATATTAAACATTATATAGTATTTTAAAACTGTAGATTAAGATACTCCACGAAATTGAAACACTAAACCACAGCTCATCTAAAGTGTAATAAAATATTCATCACTAAAATATTTCTTAAATGAAATTTATTATTATTAAGTAGATACCTTCATATGTTATTTTATTTATATAGTTGCCTAAATTGAGTGCTAAGTTCGTCAGTACAACCTTTCATCGCTCATTGTTGAGCCTAAGTCTTTCCTCATATAAAAGGTTAAGTAATAAGCTATTGCCACGTTGACGTTATATCCCAATGATTTGATAACATACAGGTAGATAATATGTCTACCTGCATGTTCATTATCATTTTCCGTGAAGGATATTCAAAACTATATATTTCACACAACTATATAGTATATATTTTGTGCATTAATTCAAAATAATAATAAAAATTCTATTGTAAAAAAATCAAAACAAGCCTAAAAGATAATACTAAAAATAATTATGTTGCAGTTCATGTTTATAGGATACGATTGTCACTTTTCATCAGGTGGGCTGACAACTTGTTCGCCATTCAAAGTTGTAGACAATAAAAAGTGCTTTTAGCAGTAGACTGAATTGTGAGTTTGTTGATGTCTTGTGTTGCTTATATTTATATGTAAACAATATCATGGATATCACTAAATACAGCTCTACCTACATATGACAGCCATACCATCTTGTGACCGTTGTTATTCCTGAAAACTAAAATGTCACTGAGGATTTTTATATCACAGAACGCACTGCTCAGAATCGTAATAAATTCACTTTTTTTAAACTTAGATAAATTTATGACGAATTAAAAAATCTGATTTCAAAATCAGCCCGAATACTCGTATACTTGCAGGAAATTTTATCCTATCCTAGTAATATTTAATAATACTTTCAGCACAATAAGATGTATTAAAAGTTAAAACTTCTTGAACAGACTACTTTTAACCGACGATAAGTGTTTGATCCAACTTGGCTGACTATTATGTATTTTTATTCGCAACTGAACCATTACCTGTTAACTTTATTGACATATTACATCCTATTTCTACAGTAAGGTTAAGTAAACGTTAATTGCCAAAAGTACGTCATATGCTCGCTTTCATTTATTTACCAACAAACTAATAAAATTGTTCTAATAATGGTCTCTGTAACAAGTTTGAATATAACGATTAAAGGTCTCCGTTACTTCTTGTTATGTTATTATTACAATACAGACAATACATTTTATACTGCTTATTTAGATATTTGAAATCCTGCAAGAATTGAAAGTAAACAATGTAATTAATTTATACCTGAATACTTAGCGGCACTTTGTTCTCAAAAATCGGTATTCAATTAGCTGCGCGTCATTACAATAATGTCATCATGTATTTTAGTACGACACCCATACGTATAGGAAACGCGGTGGTAAAACATGGAATTTTGTATGAGTCACTGATGACGGTCCACCCTTTCACGTGTTTCGAACCTACCTATATTATTACGGTGTCGGGTAGTGTGCGCGTACACTGCATACAGCTGAAGTACAAGGGTGCGCTAGGGCGCGCGCTGGTCGACGGCGGGCGGCGCTCACAAACACTCACATTCAATTATTCCTCTAACCTTGATGCGAATCGGCGCACTCCGGGTTCCATCCGACGACGGTCGTCAATTCAGACGGGCTGAAGGGCTCGCTTCAGGTGTAACAGTAAAAGTGACACTGGTTGTGAGGTTGAGATGCGTATTATGTGCGAACGTTTCGCGGCGCGGGCGTCGGGCCGGACGGCAGGCGCATCGGCGCGCCGCCACCGGCGGTGGAGTCGCGGGGCTGCGGCGCGGCGGCCGCGCTACATGTCACAGTGCGGCGAGCGCGCTCTTCGCGCCGTGGTCACCGACTCACAGTGGCGTCGCCGTCCTACTGTCTGCCCGACGGCCGGGACGGCGGCGCGCGTTGCACCGCCCCGCTGCACTCCGCCTGCCCCCCTGGCGCTATGCCCCCCTCGCTCAACCCCCTCCTCGCCGCTACACCCGCCCCGCCCCGAAGAATTTTCCGCATCGGGCGGGAAAAATCGATTGTGCAGCGAGCCCCGAATAATTTCGGCAAGACGCACGGCGCCCTTGCATCCTCACCGACGCCAACTTCAGCAGCGGTGCAATTTGGGCGGCGACAACGGCTCATGGCGGACGGTCAAGCGCACGCCTTTCACTCACAGTTGCTTCCTTAATAGTCACATTTTATTACTTAGGTAATTCTAATCGATATTATTATTGTGTTATACAATCACAATCTCTTTTCTTTTGTAACTATAGTATATAGTATCTGAAAAATGTCAATAAAAAGTGATTCATTCTCTTTTCATACATACCAAATTGGTGCATTGCAATTTCTTCGATCAATTGCTTCAAAAGTAGCACTGTTAATACTGAAAATTAAAAGACGCTAAATTAATTACTCTTTACGTAATAAAAAAAAAGTAATTTCCTAATTGCTATTAACCGGTTGCGCTAGCGCAACAGATAGTAAATCCGAAAATTGCAGTCATCGTCGCCCACGTACATCGACAGCTTTGTTTCTGATTTGTTAATAAGAGAAAGTTGATAAGTCTACAGCAAAAAGAATGCACTAAGCATAGTAAACTCGTTAAAAATCGATTAAATACTGAAATGTTTATTGAAAGCGTGCCGTTCAAAGTGATTTCGGGTTTTTCTATTAAACTGCTATTTGAAATACTTAACTTTAAAAATCTGATTTTTCAATTCAACATACCTACCTACATGTATAAATGCAAAATTATATGATATTTTCTAAATTTTTTAACTTGTAATGTATTACTATACACTGTAATATAATAAATAGAATTGCATTGACAAATGAGTAAACTATACACAAGTAGGCACGTAGCAAGTTATGTACTGTGATCCCGATATTTCTCGCATATAATAATTGATGTGAAGTAAATATATATTTATTTCTCTCACAAAATAACAACATAATAAAACTTACAGCTACATAAGTTACAATTTAAAACAATCTTTGTGAGAGACTAGCGTCAGTACTAGGATAACCTGCCTTACAGATCACCAGGCTTCCAACTCCAGAACATCTATTTTACTTGATTTGTTAAGGTAAGAGTATACAAGTATATAAATAAATTAGTAAATTTTATATGCTACGTGTATGTACTAGTATGGGTAAGATGGTGAGTGAAAAGTGAGCGAGTGCGTGTGAGTAAGTTCGTAAGTGCATGTGTTGGAGAGAGTGCGTGTGTGCGTGTATGCATGTGTGTGTGTCTGTAAGTGCATGCGTGCGTGCGTGCGTTCGTGCTCGCGCGCGTGTGTATGTGTATGTATGTATGTGAGTTTGTGTGTGTGTGTGTGTGAGTTTGTGTGTGTGCATTTTTGAAAGTCGATAAGAGTGTATTTAGTTAGAAGAGTAAGATAAAGAAAAGATTATGTGTACATAATGCACTTATTTTAACACTACGATAAGATTTTCCTTCTCTGTATATGTCAGTTTTTGTAGTCAATTAATTATAATATTTTTTATTTTAATATTAATTACGTTATAGAGGTAACTAAAAAATCCAAAGAATTTATTTGAAAATGTTTGAAAACGACGTCTATTTTCAATAATTTGAGGATCGAATACTAGTGGTTTTTTTTTTTAATGTAGTATATAAGATGAAAAGCTGTCGTACAGTGAGGACACCACATATATGATAAAGGTCTGCAGTGGGATATTGAAATGGAAGAGAATACCCTACTTTAAGGACAGCCCTTTGGGCACGTTCCAATTTCAGAAAATAAGATTTGGGGATAATCACTATTATGTAGACATTACATTCGTTTCTAAAAACTACCACTCATGAAAATTTATTAATTGACTGATTCAAAAAGAGATCATCAATTCTACTCATTGTTTTAATTGTACTTCTTTCAACTCTTAATTGATAAAGGTTGACTGTTAGAGAATGTCTATATCGTAAGGTTCACCCTTTGTAATACATTTTATTGATTTATAAAGTGTAAATAAATAAATAAATAATTGTCCAGTGCTAATTATACACAAAAATTGTCATGAAGGCTAAATATCTTTGACTGGAATTTATAGTCGTGAGCAATTTACTTCATTTGTTATTTTCTTGTTCAAAAATGTTTTTCAGCTATTTGAGTCTATTTTTATATGTTAATTATTTTTGTCAATACTAATATAGATTTTTTCTAATTTAATTTTAATACCCTAGAACAACGTCAATTAATTTAATCAAGATTGATATAACATTTTCCTTCGTATATATCAGATACGGCAAACTACATGCAACTTACTGCAATGCATGTATACTGGCATGCAACTTACCTGATGGTAAATTACTGTCCTTATGAGCTCCTGCAATATCGGAAAGACAGACTTTTTCCAAGCAGAAAAATCTGTGACACTGGGACTTTTCCATGATCTTTTGTGCTCTCCCTTTTTAAAGTTCGCTACTAATTCTTTTCAATGATAGGAATTTTGAGCTGTTTTTTGTAGTGATGACTTTATCTCCTCAGAGTATAAAGAGTATTTTCCAAAGGAGATATATCATTTATGTATAAGTTCAGCCAAAATCTGAAAACACTTTTTGGGCATAAATCTAGTTGGGTCATATTCTTGATTAGTTGTGAGAGCACTTGTTTAATACACACATATTATTCTACTAAAAAGCATAATTTCTTAGAATAATTTTCTAAAAACCCCTTAATCAGGACTTTCGAGTGATTTAATCTAGACAACAAGAACCAGCTAGTATTTATTACTTCTAAGCTTTCGAGTTTGAGGTGTCTGAGCTTTGGGCTTCAAAGTATGCCACAATAAGGTTTTGATCCTATTTGAATATTTTTTACTCCTACTTTTGCTAATTCGTCAAGTATTTCATATCCATGAATGTTTGAATGAACAGGAATCCATCTCAAGATAATAATATTTCTGCTGCCAAAACATTTATAACATTATGCAGTTGTTTATAAGATTTCATTTCATTTTGCATGAGTCAAGTGTAAGTAATGCTGGTTGACTATTCGAATAAATAAATATATTATTATTTACGTATTTAAAACTTAAATTTAGTTCTACACATCTTATAATGGCCATAGTTTCTGCCTGAAAATTTGTGGCATACTGCCCTTAAAGAGCTGTGGACTATTATGATTTAACTGCCTGGACAGTAAAAGATTTAGAACAATGACCTTACTTTACTTATTGTTGAAAAATTTAAAAATTTATTGTTAAATTTTTCAACAATAATTTGATTTATAAAATGTAATCAAGTGTAGGTAACACTCGAGTCATTCATAGTAATATCATGCGAACAAAATGAATTTTCTGAGAATATTACAACAGTGCAAGTGTTAGGTGTTGTATTTCCTATTTATATGCAAATAATACTCTAAACACATCTATTGATAAATATTCATTGAATTTTATTTAAACACGAAAAATACCTTATTCATCGATTTATGCCGTGGTTTCGGGGAACTTAGAGTAGGCATATTTATGCATAACACAATTCTGGTAAATAATAAATGCATATAACTAAATTTTAATTGTCAACTTTTTTAGTCAACCACGTAATATTACTTCATTACTTTTACAAACAAAAAAAAACTTGAATATATACCTATTTCTATATTAAGCCGCCTGCCCAGCATGAAATAGTAAGCTAAGTTTCATCTAATATATTTAATTTTGTTAAAAAAGTTTAAATTATTTTTCCTAAGTACTAGTTAAAAGACAAAAAAATTATATGAAAATTTTTGTGTAATACAAAATAGGATACTAAAAATTTCATATATATGATATTTGAAACTATGGTTCGTTTAATATTTAATAAAACAAACGACTAATTAACATGACCAAAAAAAGTACAAAAAATAAATCTATTGATAATTTTATGTCGCGATTTGTTACTAATTTCAATTAGTTTCATTTATTTTCTGTAATAATTTCAATAAAAATTGGTTACCTTTTAATTAAATTCTATTGAAACAGACTATATAAAACCAATACAGTTCTTTTACTTACACAGAGGTGCAATGACCGTAAGTAATTTTAATTTTTAACAGCATTGTCACCACGCGCGCCCACTCACTGATTAATTAATAAATCTTAAAATTACTTGATCAACGAAACTGAAATTTAGCAGTATATTTTACTGAACTACTTGTTATTCTTCGGAGTTCCATATTACTTGTTATTTATATAAAAATATTCTGCTTAATGCCGTTACCATTAGTATGTATACGACTGCCAACATTCGAAAATTGACTACTAATATTATTACCAGAATTTCTACAACCTTCCACCTCTAAACGAGGTATCTTCAGGCAAATCAATAGATCGTTGCTCTGAGCCTAATATTAACCGTTCGATACCCAAACTGCAAAAAACTTTTTGGCAGTAGATTTTTTTTTAATATAATGCTATAAAAAGTTTATATGAAATGACACGGAAACGGGGAGATAATAAATTCTTCATAGATTAAACCGCGAAAAACCATTAGCCTATTATAATTATGTTTGCGTTATTATTATGTTTATCTTAGATTTTTTTTTTTTTATACAACTTAGAATGGCAAACAAGCTGACGGCCCACCTGATGGAAAGTGGTAACCGTCGCCTATAGACATGAGCAGTACCATGGACATAACAGAGTATACTGTTTCGCCCATGTTACCCCCCATGCGTTGCCATTCCTGAGGATTCAGGTGTTATTCTTCTGTACCCAGTAAATTCACGCCATATCCCACCCTTCAAACCGAAACACAGCCATGCAAACACAACTGCTTCACGGTTGAAACACGAATGGGACAGAGGTACCCAAGCAATCGACTTTTGTACTAAATCTCCCTCTGGTAATATACATAAACTATCACAAATATCGATTATTGTATTACCCAAATTTTGACACCTCATGGCCACCGTAATGTTTTTTTTGTCGTCATATATGACGTAATAAATGTTTTATAAAATAAATATATTAGGCATCTTAATTGAGGAAGACCAATTAGCTATTGAGTAACTTATACCACTCCCATAATTAAAAGAAAACCAATATGTCTTAAAAATCTATCTAGCCAACCATAGCGGTTGCAAGCTGCGTAATTGATATCGAAAGATAATTTTTAACGACTGGAAA